TATAATTTACAAATAATATATCCACAAATTGAATGACAAAGGCCCTAAGACTGAACCTTGTGGGACTTCAGTAATAATCTCCGTAAAAAAGATGACACTGTATGTAGCTAAACTCAAAAATATGTTTTGAACAAAATTAACTATTTATTATTCTATGTATGCCAAAACCCCCAGATTTATCCAGGATATTTGAAAATCCTCTAATTTTAGTCTTGAATTGAGATAACTATTTCTTAATCAGATATAGTTCAAATACCACTGGGAAAACTAATCTGATGCACATTTTTACAGTGTCTCACTCTCACATGTATAAATTGTGTAAAATACACCTCAGCAAAGGCAAACCATGAGGAATTTGAATTGTTCTTGTTTGATTATGTTCTCAACTGCAAAGAAGCCTCGCTTCTCTTCAAATTAGCCAAATAATATTCAACTGGTGAATAATATGTATGACAATAAAATCTTTTGATGAATTTGTATCAAAATATTAAATGTTTAAATATAGTGTTTTAATTCAGATAAGTCTACTTTTTGTGTCAAAAAGTGTTCATGATGTGCCAAAAGACCATATTATCAACTAAACCCTTTTGGTAAAAGTAGTTTTAAATTCATCAGTCAATTATACCTCTTCAAGGATGATTTTCGGTTTAAGTACTGCAGTTGTGGTGATTTTCTGTTCTGCATCGATGTAGACGATGGCTGAACTGTGTATAGTCAGGATGGGATGATGTGTATATATTCTATATAGCCTAACAACCTTTTGGTAGCTATTTATGTCTTTCCCTTTGACCTGGTCAAAAGTCACTATTGTGTATATTTGTTGTTCCACTATTGTTGTTTTGTTCCATTCGACTCTCGTAATTCTATTTAGCTGTAAAAAAAAGGTTTTGGGAAAGGTTTCTTTAAAAGCATTTGGTAGTAAAATGGTGTCATCCAGTTACTTAATTTGCTGTAAAGTACTTAATTTGTAGTAGTATTTTTCTCATGATATAGTAAAGCCTTGATGTCGCAGAATCGTAGAGCAACATTTCTTGAACGAATTGGACTCTGGAACAATACTTCTGGACCATACAGTTAAATATTTCTATAGTTCAAAGGATGAAGGCAGATGTAAGAATGAGTTTGACAAAGGTTAAGATGTAAAATTGTGTTTATGAAGTATGCTTAATAGTTATTTGTGCAACTAGTGAGCAAAGTGAGCAATTGACTCACTCGAGAGAAATCCTTACTCACGAGCCATTGCACTTTGCTTTTCCTACAGTTACAATAAAACAAATAAATTAGTAAAGAAACATGACATATTTTTTTTTACACAGAAGTGAACTTTTAATATGACATTTAATGATCAACACGATCAACAACAGTACAACAGCTGACCAGCTGATTTACAGCCAGTGCTGCCAACGAATTTCACGTGCATACGACCTTGTCTGCATGTTACGCGCTCACTATTTCGTGCCTTCACGTTGCAAATCTGGATTGAGACAAAGTAATTAGAGTGAGACAATGTTAACATTGTCTCACTGCTGAGCGAATTGGCCACTTTGCTTTCTCAAATCAGTGAGAGAACATGTACATTGTTAGGTAACTGTAGGAAAACTTATTTTCCACACTGTAGCATAACGTGCCTCATGAGAATCTAAATGTTGGCTCTCATTAATAAATCCCACAAATAAGTAAAAATTCTGCATAAAGTGGAATATTAAGTTAGTATAAAGACTAATTAAAGAATAAAACCGCTTTTGCTGGTTAAGTATGTGTAATACATGATGGGATTAAATCCCAAATTACATTATTATAAGCCATAAATATTTTTGAGTTGTTGCTAAATAAATATCAAACAAAGAAGGCTTTACTGTATTAATCCAGATTTTATTAAAGATTATTTATGATATGTACACAATAATCAGCTAGGCCTATCTCTAGTTATGAGTAGTCGGCTGAAATTTACTTTTCAGCTTATCATTTTGCCTGTTTAGAATTTATTTAATGTTATTTTAGTTTATATACTTGTTATTTCTTTTGTTTAATTATGATTTAGCAAAACCAGGTTAGATTGAAGCAACTGGATATTGTTAGTGTTTTTTTTTTTAACATACATTCCGTATCTACTGTACTTTTATTTTTTTTTACCAGATCTACATATTGTGTATGCTATTGCTGCGGGCTTCGGGAAAGTATTACCATGATAAATAACGCATTTATTCTAAGTATATTTTCCATATCTAATGTAAGATAATATATGTCTATATTGTGTTTTACAATTACAGTTCCTTGTACATCAACCATATCATAATGGCCTGCTTTGACACTTTGCACTATTTGTGTGTGTATGTGTGTGTACTGTTAACCATTTACACATATTTTCTTAAGTCACAAACTTTTCTGTTGATTATATAACTTTAAAAAATTTATTTTGAAACATGAAATGCAGAACTTTTGGCGTTAATAACCTCTACAGTACCAAACATTATTCATCTCACTTTGTAAAATTAGGTAATTTTTTTAATCATTGAAGAATTATTTTTTTGTATTCCTTCCTCAAGTTAATTTGTTGATTTGAACAATTCGTCACTTGCAAGAAGAAGGGGCCTAAGTACATAAGCCTGCATGTAGTTACGTTACGCTCCTTTGTCTTGCTAGCGTTGGATTAAGTATTGACTAGGACAGACTTACAAGTTATTAAGGCACTGGTTGATGTATTAATATATTTGTCTTTTTTATCAGTATTTGAATTGTATTGATACAATAAATTAAAAAGTGAAATTGCTAGAGTAATATAGAGTAAATACTCTTTTTTTTCATTTCTTGTTCTAATGGTGATTTTCAATGCAATTAAAGATTGTGATGTATAATTATTTTTGAATGTTTTTTTAGCTGAGTCATATTAAAAATCAATTGTAAAATGCAGCTGGTTTTGGAGGTTCCTTTTTTTATATACTTAAATTTAGCATCATGCTTTTTTATATAGCTAAATTATATAGGTACATCTCAAATCAACTGCTAAAATTTACATATTTTAAGTGTTGTGCCTTTAAGTACATTTAATAGTGAATACATTTTTTCACATATTTAAGAATGTCTGTTAATATTATTTTTGCTTGTGTAATTTTATCTACAAAAGTGTTTTGCTTGCAAAGACTTATTGTAAGATAATGATTTACTAACCCTATTATTGTAGTTGTACTCAGCATTATTTAGCAGCAAAACGGTTGAGATTATTTAATCAAAACAACATGGAAAGTTATTTGTTTAAATAATTTCTAACTTATTAGTTTTATGAAAAAATATTTATAATTATGAGTTTAGTTTTACCAAATATACAATTTTCCTGTGTGAAATGACTCCAGACTATAAAAATAAAATTGCTCACTGATACAAATTGTTCAAAAACTTTTAATCTATATTTTAGTGTAGACTGACCATAGTGCCATTATTCCATGCCTTCTTGAATAAGCCAGTTAATCTGTATTTACTTAAGAATATGTATATTTTAAGACGATTATTACTACTATTCCGTCCTTATTTATACTAGACAAACATGTAGAGATTGACTTTTGAAAATATACAGCTTATTTACAATGAAATTAATCAATTGATTTTTTTAAATCCTGCAGTCACAATTTTTTCAAATAATAGCAGTGTCATAGACAATTTCCTTTATTTGTGATTTCTTCAAGAAATGCAATGGCGTCACAAAAATTCAGAATGTTTAACATCTAGATTGTTTAACAGTTTACATTTTCTTTGTGTTTAAAGTTCATAATTGGTCAAAAAATTCCTTAAGGGAGTACACCGGTCGGTCCACAAGCCAGTCCCAGAGTTGCTGTTTGAGTTGGTTTCCTGTTGCGTTCTTGAGGTTGTTTGGAAGAGAGTTGATGATTTTGAGGCGAATATAAGAGGGTTTTCTGCTGTATTGTGTAGTGTGGTGGATCAGAAGGCTGTAGTCGGCTGCTCTTCTGGTAACCATACCAGAAAATTCTCATTTCTGGGAAGGTTCAGTTTTTTGTGCACAGGACAACTCCATGGATGTAGAGTGCTGTCACTGTTTGGAGCTTAAGGTATTTAAATGCTTCCCTGTAGCTATATCTAAGCGCTCAAGGCCGGAGAGTGCCCTGACGGCTTTTGTCTGGAGTACCAGGACTTTGTTGAGGTTTGCTTCTGATGTTCCTCCCCAAGATATTAAGCCATACCTTATATGTGATTCTATTACAGCATAGTATGCTGTCTTAGACGTTTCCAGACCTCCTATCCATTTCATCCTTTTTATTACATAGACCCCAGATGCAAGTTTCTTGGTCAGGTTGTATATGTGGTCGTTCCAGGAGAGGTCTTCATCAGTGGTCAGGCCTAGCAGTTTTGAGGTTTTTTTCATCGGTTATTTCACAAAATTTCTTGGATTTGTTCATGTTTTCAGCTGAAATTTAACTGGATTGTTTTTGATGGATTAATGGCCAGGTCATTTAGAAGACAGTACTGCAGTGCTTTGTCTGTTAAGGATAAGATGTTTTGAGTGTAGTTCTTGTGGCGAGTCATGCATAAATAGAAGAGTTGTGTCATCTGCGTACATTATTGTTTCACAATTGTCATTCCTAATGAAATATACATCTAAAATATCATAAATGGGAAGTGGTTTCTATCTGTGTGGCCACAAACTACTGAATCAATTGAGCTAAAAATAAACGCAAAAGTAAATTATGGTAGATAATTATTGGGTTTTAATTTCAGCCATTCATGTCATTCCTTCAGGCTAAGCATTTTAAATGTATGGCATGCAACTTGGCTGTAAATTTTAGGCTATCAGCAAGACACATATGATGACAAAAGTATTTAGTTTGGCTAGCATAAGAAAAGCATTTCTTTGATTACGTTCCTACTGAGATATGTTCAGTACATGAAATGTCAGTTGGTCCAACTTTCTGTGGTGATTCACAATAAAAATTGTACATTAATCAATAATGCAATCGTGTGAATAATGTGGGAACTGTAATAAAACCATATACACCTGTAAAGATTTTTATATTTAAAAATAATGGTTGTCAATATCCTACAAAAAGATGTGAAGTATTGTATTTAAAAAAATTCTTTTCAATATTATGTTAGCATCAAATATCATTCCTTAAATAAATGTGAAAGAAATGAGATACCTAACTTACAGTATATTGAAGGCACAGTCAAAATTCACATGCTATCCTCCCTTAGTGGTAATAATTTTCTCAATATTATAAACATGCAAGTTATTTTACAGATGCATGTTTCCAACTAGGTTTCCTCTTCTCAATAAAACTCTTGATGCCTTCTTGACCGTCCTCAAGAGCTATATTGCTGACCATTACATCTTCCCCCATCCTAGTGAAAGATGAAAGCAGTTAGTTCCTCAATGTAAACAAAAAGATTAAAATATTTCAAAATAAAAATTCAGTTTACTGTGCAACATCTGCTTGAAGCAATGACATTATTTAAGAATCACAGTTGATTTTTAATGTAGCATTATAAAAGCCTTTAAATAAAAAAAAAATTGTGTAGAAAATAAATCAAGGAGCCATTTTACAAACAAATGAAGAGAAAAACATCAATTAAGAAATTTAGAATTTTTGAGTAAAGGGGGGTATCAGCTAGCCAACTTTAGAAGAAATACAGGCATGCCATAGAACACTCAGAGGACACATCACACACAATATTTCATTCCCAGGATCCAAATGTAGATAAATATGTCAAATTAGTAGTCAACATTTGAATACATCGATACTATATTAAGAAAAAGTTCTAAAACAGTGAAACTGCATGTGAGTAGGTACTAATGTTATCCAGCCCTTAACAAGTAAAGTAATACACAATTACCTACTCCTATGAAAGACAAATTCCTACCTATAGGCGGTTTGAAGATCGGTTTCAACTTGCTTGTAAAAGAATTTCTTTCCCAATGATATCACTGTCCTACTTTTAGACTCAATGGAATCTGTTATGATCTTTAGTTCCGTTTCTGAAAAGACACATTTAAGATCAGTAAACCTGTGTTACACAGTGCAAAAGATTTATACAGTGATATCAATTGTGTTTTACAGCTACAAATAAGTTCCACTAAACTTAACCCTACAACCTTTCAGTCTAGATTTCTCAAAGAATCTGTAAAAACATTTTATGAAGGTCCACATATAGGCCAGTCAAATTGTACATAAAAAGAGGCTAAAATCGCAAAGCGTGATGTATTGCTGCATTTTTAATATGTTGTTGGGACCCGTTAGGGTAACTCAAAACCAAGTTTGCAGCTTTGAGATCCCTGTGCTCCCTGCGTAATAAGTAAAATATTACAAAATTAATGTATTTTTTTAAGTTTTTGGTTTATAACTTATTAACAGTGCATTTTTCTTAATACTACTCAAATGTGATAATTAAAGTACATAAAATTTCCAACAATTTAAGCATAGTTTCATTTTTGTGTGTCAAATAGTTTTTGAGCAATGAATTTTCAAATATTATATCTTTTTTCAAGTAATTTCCACAATTTACATTTTTTCTGGGTTGGACCCACAAAAATTGTGTAATACCCATATTATGGCAGAATTCTTAAAACCTGCTTTTGTAGTAAATGTAATTGGCTTTCGTTTTATCACAAAGCCGAGTCTCTACCTCCAACACTTTTCTGAAAACTATACAAATAATAATTTATGAATATCACAATTTTTTCATTGAACGAGCTTAATTGTTTTTACAACATGTGTAAGTTGAGATAAAAAAATGTTACTATGTTTTAGCAAATTTTTTAAAAATATAATATATTATTTTGTGTTAAAACAACTTACAGTAAATATTACCACCGCAGAAAATGATCAAATATATCGGTTCCGGCACTAAGCATTACCGTACCACCTATGGTAATAGCTACTTCCTATCAGTAAGTAAAAAAGAAGAATATATGTTAAATTAGTGTTTTATTTCTATTATACTTGTTTTCTTTATGTTAAGTTTTAGATATAGTTTTTGACGCCATTCCATGTACTGATTTATGTACAATATGAAATAAAGACTATTTGATTTGAACACAATTGTTGCATCTACTACTACGGTATATAATTTTTTTGCTGTTTCAAATATTTATATGATGCATTTTAACTACAATAGTACAGGTTCTACATCAATAAGACTCATGCTGACTGCTGATGTACTTTTTCCCGCAGCATCTTTTCCGAGAGCCTGAAAGACGACCTCCTGTTGTTGTGTCAACCTTGTTCACTGGTTAAAAGGACAAGGACGTCACTTGTAGGATTTTGTTTTAAACAAATGGAAAATGACTTTGTTAAGTTAAAATGGCAAAAGATAAGCTGTGTTTTGATCTGCTATTTATATCTATAGGGTGAATATTATTGATTTTTTACTGCATTGAAATTGGTCCTGGGTCCAGGTCTTACCATGAGTACTATGGTAATAGATCATTGACTATATAGGAAATTTGCTAAAACCTTATAATTTCGTTTATTTAGATGTCGATAAAATATCATTATTTATACACATCCAGGACTGATTTACTTTTTCAACTTCAAATTACCAGAGGTCAAAAACGCCTTCCGTTCAAGTTTATGTAAATGTGTGTGTAGGTCCATCAGCACATGAACTAGAGTAAAACTCATCCGATTTTGATTAAACTAAAAGCAAATGTTATGAACCAGTATGATTGTACTAAAGAGTACGGGGTTTTATGGGATTAAAATAGGTTTCCCCATTCTCACCCTAAAAATTCCTCCGAGGAAGCTGGAGAAAAGTGCCTAATTGCTTTGTATGGTGGCAACACATTCCACAATGAATTCGAAAACCTTCGGTTCCGCCTGTTTGTAAAGGCAGCAGCCCGCGCTAAGGTAAACTTTTCACGCTTGCCCCCCACCCAAGATGCAGCTTCCTTCCACTTATTTTGAGCATACCACCAAGTGCAAAAATGGTTAGGGATTGAAAAGGATCCCACAGAGTGGGGTTGGTCAAATAGCACAGCAGGATTGGTTCCAGTGACAACAACAAGTCCAGCTCCATCCAACCTTCTGAAACTAGTTTCATGCAGGTGCAAAAAAGGATGCACGGGCGCTTGCACATGTTGGAAGGCCGGGATAAAGTGTTCACCATTATGTACTCCTTGCTCTGCTAAGAACTGCCAAAATGTCACATTACCATTTATTGAAGAGGATGAAGATGACCCTGACAATAATATTTTTTTTCCGAAGATTTTTAATTAGGAAACATTTCTAATACCTTGCCTTCAGTGTCCAAAAAGCCAAAATATTAATTATAAGAATATTTTGTCATAATTTATCTTTAAATATAACTTTTATCCTTAAATATGTTTTTCCTTATTTCGTTTTTATCACTTAATGGTTGGTTTCATTTTTTAAACTCATTAAATAAAAAAATCGTGATGTTCATAAATTATTATTTGTATAGTTTTCAGACAAGTGTTGAAAGTACAGACTTGGCTTTGTGATAAAACGAAAGCCAATAACATTTACTACAAAAGCAGGTTTTAAGAATTCTGCCATAATATGGGTATTACACAATTTTTGTGGGTCCAACCCAGAAAAAATGTAAATTGTGGAAATTACTTGAAAAAAGATATAATATTTGAAAATTCATTGCTCAAAAACTATTTGACACACCAAAATGAAACTATGCTTAATTTTTTGGAAATTTTATGTACTTTAATTATTACATTTGAGTAGTATTAAGAAAAATGCACTGTTAATAAGTTATAAACCAAAAACTTAAAAAATACATTAATTTTGTAATATTTTACTTATTACGCAGGGAGCACAGGGATCTCGAAGCTGCAAAGCAATACATCACGCTTTGCGATTTTATTGTCCAATTTGACTGGCCTAATAACCCTACCCACGTATCATTTGCAACTATGCTGGGATTCTCTGAGTCAGTGTCTTTCATAACAACTCAGCTTGGCGATAGCCAACTAGTCAGAAACATAATCTGTCCGATAATTGGGTTCACTTATGGTGATAAATTTGATGTCCTAACCGTCCTACATTATATAGTGTAGTATTTTTGTAGTTGAACAACTTTTGATAAAGTGAAGAATTACTTTATCAAGGAGAGAACAATTATGGAGCAAACATCTTAGAAATTTGAAAATATAGGACATATAAACACAATTGCTTTAACCCTTTCAGTGCTAGGCCAATAATTCATATTTTGTAAGACTTTTTTGTTTGCCTTTCAATTCCATTACCTGTTGTTGAATTTTAACTGTCATGTTGTCACTATTCTATTAATTAGGCTAATTTTGAAAAATAACACAATAAGAAAATATATAAGAAAGATAAATCCCGGTATTTGTAGTAAACATAAATAAAACTTTTCCTATAATTTTTTATGTTCTGATAGCATTATTTGAAACCGAAATCTCATAAAATCAAAAGACATATAGTTTACAATGTAATATTGAATTTAACCCTGATTTAGTTGGACGAGGTTATCGTAATATAGCCATTTTAGGGAAACTAATGTTTTGCAGCAAAGTCTCAGGAACACATTTACTACTACTAAAACTGAAAGATTGCATCTAAATAGTCCGTGACTAACTGGTGCTGCTACCTAGTAACGCATTGAACAACCATCTGCAGCGCCATCTGTTCGCAATCGGTGGCGACAGCTTAAATACAGGTTTTTGACTCCCCAGTCTTCAAGCACAGATAGCCGAGAAGGCTAGGGCGTGTGTCACTTGGCCAGTGGCATTCGTCTGCTCGGGTTCGAATCCCGTCCTGTGTGGCAAATAATTGGTGACCTGTGTGTTTGTAGCGATATACTACAACCACTGGGGCATAGTGAGGTGTTCACAATCCTTGGTTTAGACATACACCTCGAAATCATCGGATTGGGCGAATCTTTTAGCTAAGTGGTTGGTAGTGTATCCTATAAACATGCAGGTCACCAATGGCCGTTTTGCTATTTTTTTTAAAAATAACCTTCCTCTCTATATCCCTTAGGGTTTTTTTTAAAACAACGATATATCGTTTCATAGCACTGAAAGGGTTAAATCTTGGAGTTGGACGACAAAATAAAAACGGTGATTGGAAAAAACAAAAGAGGGGGAATTGATTAAGCTGAAAAAGTCCCATTTCCCAATAAAAACCATTATTTCTCAAACGGTAGGCCTAAACTTCCAGATTGCAAAGTTTGTGACACTGTACTAGTTCAAAGTTTTAGTTAGATTTTCTTGACACATTCCAAGTCTTATGAACTGCAATACTGACCCAAACTCTCCTGTGGTACGACCTTGCTCACAAGACCAGCTTGATAAGCCTCCTCCGCTGTGATTGGGAGCCCTGTCAGCAACATGCGTAACGCCATCTTGCGACTGACACTACGAGCCACTGGGATACCAGGAGTCGAGCAGAATAATCCAAAACTAGCTCTAAACAGAAAATTAATCATTAGAAACAGAAAGTAAGATTTTGAGTCTAGGCTAAAGGTTTCAGTTTTAGCTCCAGCCAATGCTCCTATTCTTATAAAATGATTTTCCATCTGATAAATATCAAGTGGGGGAAAAACTAAGATAGGAAAATAGACTGGATTATTTTGTTGTAGGCTCACCCTGGAGTAGAGGAGCTGGCAGATGGCAATGTCAAACTGAGCTTCAGCTGCAGGCAGTCTGTCTACCACAGGCACGGGACACGACACTGACTACGCTAACATCATCTGAGAACACCACTCATACTAACCCTGGTGTAGAGAAGAAACTGTGAGGTGTGCAGATGGCAATGTCACACTGAGACCCAGCTGCTGCGGCCAGTCCGTCTACCACAGCCACCACAGGCACGGGACATGACACTATGTCTAACATCAGCTGAGAACACCACTCATACTAACCCTGGTGTAGAGAAGGAACTGTGAGGTGTGCAGATGGAAATGTCACACTGAGACCCAGCTGCTGCGGCCAGTCCGTCTACCACAGCCACCACAGGCGCGGGACATGACACTATGTCTAACATCAGCTGAGAACACCACTCATACTAACCCTGGTGTAGAGAAGGAGCTGTGAGGTGTGCAGATGGAAATGTCACACTGAGACCCAGCTGCTGCGGCCAGTCCGTCTACCACAGCCACCACAGGCACGGGACATGACACTATGTCTAACATCAGCTGAGAACACCACTCATACTAACCCTGGTGTAGAGAAGGAGCTGTGAGGTGTGCAGATGGAAATGTCACACTGAGACCCAGCTGCTGCGGCCAGTCCGTCTACCACAGCCACCACAGGCACGGGACATGACACTATGTCTAACATCAGCTGAGAACACCACTCATACTAACCCTGGTGTAGAGAAGGAGCTGTGAGGTGTGCAGATGGAAATGTCACACTGAGACCCAGCTGCTGCGGCCAGTCCGTCTACCACAGCCACCACAGGCACGGGACATGACACTATGTCTAACATCAGCTGAGAACACCACTCATACTAACCCTGGTGTAGAGAAGGAACTGTGAGGTGTGCAGATGGCAATGTCACACTGAGCTACCAGCTGACACCCAGCTGCTGCGGCCAGTCCGTCTACCACAGCCACTACAGGCACGGGACATGACACTATGTCTAACATCAGCTGAGAACACCACTCATACTAACCCTGGTGTAGAGAAGGAACTGTGAGGTGTGCAGATGGCAATGTCACACTGAGCTACCAGCTGACACCCAGCTGCTGCGGCCCGTCCGTCTACCACAGCCACCACAGGCACGGGACATGACACTATGTCTAACATCAGCTGAGAACACCACTCATACTAACCCTGGTGTAGAGAAGGAACTGTGAGGTGTGCAGATGGCAATGTCACACTGAGCTACCAGCTGACACCCAGCTGCTGCGGCCCGTCCGTCTACCACAGCCACCACAGGCACGGGACATGACACTATGTCTAACATCAGCTGAGAACACCACTCATACTAACCCTGGTGTAGAGAAGGAACTGTGAGGTGTGCAGATGGCAATGTCACACTGAGCTACCAGCTGACACCCAGCTGCTGCGGCCAGTCCGTCTACCACAGCCACAACACGGGACATGACACTATGTCTAACATCAGCTGAGAACACCACTCGTACTAACCCTGGTGTAGAGAAGGAACTGTGAGGTGTGCAGATGGCAATGTCACACTGAGCTACCAGCTGACACCCAGCTGCTGCGGCCCGTCCGTCTACCACAGCCACCACAGGCACGGGACATGACACTATGTCTAACATCAGCTGAGAACACCACTCATACTAACCCTGGTGTAGAGAAGGAACTGTGAGGTGTGCAGATGGCAATGTCACACTGAGCTACCAGCTGACACCCAGCTGCTGCGGCCAGTCCGTCTACCACAGCCACCACAGGCACGGGACATGACACTATGTCCAACATCAGCTGAGAACATTGTGAGAACACTAGGCTCTGGTGCTGCTGTTGTGTGGAGTTGAGGTCCTGAGGCACATATCAACAGATTTTGAATATTAATAATATAGGATGTTTCTCTGGATGTATTTGTTTATTCCAGGTGACAATTGAACATCAAAACTAACTTTTAAACTTTAATCAATGGTAAATCATGAGTTGCTCAATAGGTCTTTTTATGTCTATCAAATTTCTTCTGGCTGTGCCTAAGTTTTAAAGTATAATTTTTCCACGATTACAGTACAGTGCTTGTATTGAGTTCTAAGGAAAAGAATGAATAAACAATCCTAACGTTTACTCTACTGTTATTATGTTTGCAATTATTTTGTCAATAAATTTTAATTCCACCCACTTTATACAACTAATATAGCATATTTACAAGTTAAAGTAGTAGGTCCAGCACGTAGATTCTATAGAAGTTATTATTATTACTTTTTAAAATAACACAAACTAGTTTATATTGCAACAAAATTGTGAAAAATAGAAGCAACTGCTGTGGTGGTTTATTTTGATCGTAGCGTAGCCTATATCTGCATAATTTAGTTTTGGAATAAAAATGTGATATTGAAATAGTTTTATTTACCACCATTTTATACTGTGATTATTAATTAATAATTACGAGAGGTCGTCCAGTGGTCGAAACTCGACCAAAAATATGTAATGTTATTTTCACCCCACACTGTAAATAAAACATGTGATTGGAGTTTCTTCCATTTGTTTTGATTTTCTGTTTATATTTCGTTGATATTTCGTCACCAGCATGGCAACGCATAAGATCCATGTTAATTTTTTCAATTTTTTAAACTAATTTTTTGTGCTTATCTTTGAGCCTATTTAAATTTATAAAGGGAATAAAGGGATTCTGCACACCTACAGGAAAATAGCTTTCTAACGGTATGCGTAGATTTACCCCACGATGCACACGAGCTGAGAAAAAAGGTTTTAAAGAAACATGCTTGCCTATTAATATATAGATTCTATATTCTTGTGCTGTTGTGCTATTATTAAGCATCATACAAATTATAGGTTTATTTTTACAACCTATGGAAAAGTCTCTTTATGTTCTTGTTTGTATTGAATAAATGTTGCTTTTCTATACCTTTAAGTAAATAAGAAGCTAATTAAAATTATTTCATTTGTCAAAATGTAAACGCAGGAGTATCATGGATTGATCTACACTCTACCCACTACCTACAAATTCTTTGAGGTTATGACCAGAGCAGAAAACAGGTCCTTCAGCTCTGATTACAATGCACCTTAGTTTGATGTCTTCCACATCTGTTGTCACATGGCCGATGAGCTCGTTGATGGTGGAGAGAGACAAGGCATTCCTGTGAAAGCAAATTATGTCATTAAGGTTTAAACTCGATTAAGTTAAAATTTATGGAATGTAAACCAAATGTATAATCTTTAATGTAATTACTTGGACCTATTCATGAGTTTGTTTATAGACAGTGCCCTTGCATTAGAGGAGGCTATGATTTAAGTGGTATGCTTATAGAATATGTCTGAATGTGATTGAAACTAAAATAAGCTTACCGTGATTTGGGGTTGCTTAATGTAATCGTCCTGACTCCACGCTCTTCAATCATTTTAGTGGTCACAGCACTTGCGGAAGTTGAATAGGAGGCAAGAGAAACTATTTGTTTGAAACATTTCCTCACCAACATTGCAAACTGTACTTTAACAGAGGGGAGCTGCAGTTAAACGTTGAATACTCTGTAACATGTCAAAGCCACATTTAATGCAGTTTAGTATAACAATCTTGAATGCCAACAATACCACACTACTTCAATTTAGCATTTCTCAGCATCGCACATCCACTGACACTGACATACACGTTCTTCTTGATGATACCACTATTTTCCCCTCCCTAGATGTAAAGTTCCTTGGTTTAATTTTTGACGAGAACCTCAAATTTCACAAGCATATCGATCACGTTTCAAACACGATCTGTAGGGATTTTCATGCTCCGCACTCTTAAACATACCGTTTTGTCTGAGGTTATCTTGACAGCCTACTTGGCCTTGTTTATCCTTATCTGACATATGCTGTACCTGTCTGGGGGTTTGAAAGCCAAAGGACTCAGTTTATATTCAAGCTCCAAAAAAGGCTCTCCAAACTTTTTTTCCCTTCACCGTCGTCAATCCTGCAAAGACGTTTTCAGATCACATAAAGTTCTAACTTTCCCTTCCATTTACATTTTAGAAACATAAGCTTATCATTTAGTAAGAAAAACCAATCATCATATAGCTCTCCAAAGTATCCATAGTTAAATCCTCTCCGCAACAATTTCAATCTTTTCACAACACTCATTCAACCACTTTCTTTCAGAAAAACATCCACTTCAATGCAGTAAAACTTTTTAATGAACTTCCTCTCCCTTTGAAAGTCGAACAGGAAATCGGAAAATTCAGGAAATGTGTTAAGTCCATCTTGATAACTTAAATAAGGTTCGCTCGGTAGATGTATAGTTGGCCCCAAATTTAGGGCCTACTAACTACAAAGTCAAAGTGAAAGTCAAAGTCCTTTATTAGGCTAAGCCAGATTAACAATACACATTGCATTGGCCAAGTCAAGAAATTTCATTTATTATGAAATTATTAACTACTAAATACATGTAGGCCTATAGCCTACAAATTGTTTGGTTGTGTCACACAACCCTTTGTGATGTTTAATAAGTTAAAGACTACCAGCAAATTCCTGGACGCTGTAGCAAACGAGCGAGGTTGTAGTTTGCTTGTTTATGGATATATTTTGATCAAACTTGGCAAATTTTATTTTTATTTTATAGTAAGCTATCAATATTTTACTAAAAACACACTTTATTAGTTTCCTTGTAGCAGCAAACCTAGGTACTCGTTAAACCTAATGTTATTTAAATAGATCAATTGAAAATCAATTCAGCCAAATGGAAATTCGCTTAGACGACAGGTTTGCTGCGGCGGGGGTATTTTTTAATTTTTTATCTGGAGGACTTGTGTGGTCGTGTGGTGTTTGTTTTTGAAATTTGATACTGATTAGATTAGTGATTACTGATACATAAGTTTAATGCTGCACACAGTTCTGGTAGGCTTGGCTATTAAATATTTTAATTTATCAGTTAGTGAAATATTGGTGTTTGGTATTCAAGCAGAGTCCCTTATTACAGGTTCAAAATATTAATAACAGGTACTTACTTTTCAAATCAACAAAAAGTTAACTTTAGTAATAAGTTAGTAAAAATAAACAAAGTAATTCTTCTGATAATTACTGAAACCAACTTTAAACTGTGTAGGCTATTTTATTCCACCACCACAGTCTATTCAGATTCAATGTTTAGGACACAAATTAGGTCGACTGTGTTTTTAAAGTAGGCCTACTATCATCGCACTGTATTCCATTTTGAGGTATTTTTTTTTTCTGGAGACCAAAAATAATAACATAGTCGGAAAGAACATACTTTACTCCAAATTTGACATGATTATATGATTAGCTGGCTTTTGAATTCTGCCTCCCTGAAGCCAGCGATGTCGGCAAGGATTTAGTTGAATGTGTCGCTGCCTCTAGCTGCCACATGTACTCCGCCAAATAGGTAGCCTATACTCCTATACAGCGCGCTGCGGGGTAATCAGTAATCGCCTGCGACGGATAAGGATAAGTACCGGTACCTAATAATTATCAATGATTTATCAATAGGCCTAAATGATCTTTTATTGAAGTTAAAACAGATAAGTTACCTGTACTACATATATAATAACATACATGTATTTTACATATTACCATAATATTTGAAGTCATTATTGTTATTAACCTATAATAATTATAGCCTAACTTAATAACTTATTTATGAGCTTTAACTTAGTTTTGTTACAGAATGGATACCCATTTTACAATATTCTCCATAAGAATAACATAGGAATTTTAAATTTACCATTTTTTAGTTTTCTCCGTAACCGATAACCGTACAAAAACACTTTGATATACTGAATTGTTTGTTTTTTTAAGTTCTTTAAGAAGGTTTAGAGAAAAATTGGGAAATTTTGTGTTTTGAGGGTCAAAAATGAGAAAACCCAATTTTTACCCCATAAAACCCCCCATAAAACCCTGTTCCCATAGTCCGATCATGCTGGATCGCGAACTCGTTCAAGTTTATCCCGCCTTACACCTTCAAACCAAATTTCATCAAAATCGGATAAAAATTACTCAAGTTATCGTGTTCACGGACATATATATATATATATATATATATATATATATATATATATATATATACATATATAAAAATTTGAACGAATGGTGTTTTTGGCCTCTGGGGACATCAAAATGAAAAAGTAAATCGGTCTCGGGCCTAAGTCTTACCATGAGACCTACGGTAATAGCTACTTCCCTATAGGGAAATTCGCTAAAAAGTGATGACACCGTCACAGACACCGATAACACCAGTCAGTGGTGCCAACCTCTTATCATGTACTATTAATTTTATAAGTTTACCCTAAGTTATTACATTTTCTGACAATATTATTCGATCTAAAGTAGGATTACTTGATTATCAATTATATAAAGGATTACTCAAAACAAAACGGTCATGCAGACCACTCAGACCAGTGTTGTCACCTCATCGGTCATCGGTGTTTTTTCTAGGGCCTTGCATCGGTGCGATTTTACTTAAAAGACGAGCTAAAATTACCCTTTTTCGGTCCCCATTTTGTTAGTTAACTTTCAAACATTACCCGGGAAAACTAGTGAATATTACCCAAATTACACTAAGAGTGGCAACACTGGATCAGACTCGACTCATCAAACATTTACTTGGACCGGTTTAGTGGGAGCGTTTCATAAACTCCAAATTTCACAAACTCCAACGCTTAAAATATTAAATGAACAGAGCGGTTCATAACCTCCAAATTTCATAAGCTCCAAATCTATAACATTCAAATAATCACTGGTTCACAATGTCCAAGTTTCACAAACTCCAACGTTTAAATATTAAATAAACAGAGCGGTTCATAACCTCCAAATTTCATAAGCTCCAAATCTATAACATTCAAATAATCACTGTTTCACAATGTCCAAATTTCACAAACTCCAACGTGAAGATACCAAATAAACAGTGCGGTTCATAATGTCCAAATTTCATAACCTCCAACGGTACAGTCTGAGCCAGAAGTCTCTGCAGTGGTTGCCACAGCTTATTAAACGGCCCCAAAACTCAATGTTCCGCTTCAAAATAACTCGACATTTAGCCTACTTAGACTTAAGTTATATGGTTGAAACTTCGTATGAGTGAAGTCAATAAGTCTATGACACTATTGGTTTTAATTAAAAGCTTAAAAGTTAGTATTTTCTATTTTAAATCTTCAAATAAAGTCGGTACTTTTAAATGAGTTTTAAAATATGACATGAAAAAGTTCGTCGGCTGCTACTTTTTTTATTTTTTGGTCAGGTAAGTTAAAAAACGGTGGATTTTGTAGCTAAAGAGTTGAACCTTTTGGATCATATTTTTTTAAATTTTTAGCTGGCGTAGTTTGGTTGTAATTTAAATTGTAATATAGGGGCTACCCGCCGCGCCGCGTGGCGTCATGCGGGCAGATTCTGCCTACAACGTCACTTGTAATACAGTTTAGATACTCAAATTTGGAGCTATACAGGAAAGTTACTAAACTAATTAGAAAAACACGGATTACGAGTCACACTCAGCTGTGTGACTCAAATATGTGTTAGCACATAATTTGCAAATCAAATTACATATTTATATTTTTAATAGCTTTAATTCAAGCTTTCAGCTGAGTTTCTTAACTGTTCCGTCTCTCAATTAAAAGCCATTACAAATATCGTAAGAGATTTTTTTTACCGATGAAAAATTTTAAAACATATAAATTTGTTTTATAAGTATATTTTCTATTAGCTGTTAAAATTTCATGATGATTACATCAGTAGTTTTTTTTGTTATGTGTAAAAATAGTCCTTTGTTAGAAAAGTGCCGAAAACCTTGTACTTTATTTATTCTACCCACCAAAAGGACGAGAGTTAAAACAACATAAAAAGGTAGAAACTAACATACATAAACGCAGAAATACATTTTTATAAATAGGATTTAACTTATTCATCATATTGTAGGTATACTGGTCAAGTTTCAATAAAAGTTCATACTCGAGTATTTACACTTTTTTACTCGACAGCAGTCTCGTTTTCTCCTTGCAACTTAATGTGGGTAGTTCAATAATGTTAAAGTTTTGACAAGGTGATAATTTATATTTGGATTTGCCTTTTCAGTGGAGAGTTAAGCATTGTAAACCTTTTATTTACCAAAAAAATGCGTAATCACAAACAGCTAAATAATTCATGATAAAATTTTTGTTGATTGTGTGAGTCTAACAGTAGAGGACGAAGATTATCTCAACTTGAACATAGTGCGTAGTATCTATGAGCAGAGGACTTGAAAAATTATATTTAAGTTTTGATATAATATCATACGATAATCAGGAAAAGAACCTGTATCCAAGAGAATAGTAAAAAGCTCACGCGCGCGCACTGTTTTAAGTATGTTGTGTACATTTGCGACTTTTCGGGTGCTTCATATTTGGCGCCAGAATGTGCCTTGTTGACCTTCATTATTTTTTTCTCACGCCCGTCCATAACGGATTTATAGTACATCCGCTTGACTAGTTACTGATATTTTAATTCACTCCACAAAATTCTGCCTTAGTACAGTATTTTGTTAACTCGAGACTTCTTTGATTCCTAACAGGACCAAACAGGTGAACAGGACAGTTAGGTGATAGGTCATACTGTCAATATACCTGATTATATAAAAGTAATATCGATAAATAAAATAAACTACAAATGTCATGTTTTATTTCCTGAACCACGAATAGGCAATAACAATACATTAAGAATAAGATAACAGCTGGTTGAAGTGGATGTAATGTATGTAACGCAACTGCAGGTTTGCTGCGGCGGGGGTATTTTCATTTTAAAACATATGTTTACGAAGTCTACAAAATTATTTTACTTTGTTTACATGTCTTCATATTTCAAGCGTATTATTGTGTTGAAGGAATGTTTAACAATCAATAGCCACTTTCACTAATTAATTATGGATTCAATATTAAATGGAAAACTCCTGCTTTGTTTTTATTTCAAAAACATTATAATGAGATGATATATTCTAAACGTTTCTGTTACACAAAATACAGTTAAAATACAGTTAAAATACAAAATACAGTTGAAGCATAGACATGAACATTTGACGCTTACTTTAGTGTTTAATCAATATTTTGTTTAAAGTGGAATGACCTCAACGGCTACTCTGGAACTAACCTGAGAATTAAACTAAAAAAGTTCGTAGAGACAATATATTTTTTCACTAAAGCAATTACTATGACAAGTTCCAGTGAGCGGGATTTATTAATTTTGTTTGGAGAAGGTTTTAACTAGGTACATTCTGTTTCTCAAAGGAAAAGGGGTTAAGATCATATAGACTAGCATGCATAGTATGAATAAAGTACAGGGCAAAACCTATAACAATAATATTTTGAGGTAGTTTCCTTTTCTTTATATGCATGTCAATGCTGGAGAAACGTAATTTCGTGATTGGTTTCGACAAATGGGTAATCAAACCCTAACCATGCACTGCAGTGGCAAAAATGTTAGACGTGAGCCGTTGATTAGCTTTTTCAAATATAGATGAATATAAACTCGTTAAATGTTTTAAAATAAAATTATAATATATCAATTGAATATAACATGTAATACTATCTAACAACTAAATGGCTAAAGAGGATGAAGAAACAAATAAATAGGTATTGTAATGTGGTCTCAACCATGGTCTCAACTATGAACCCGCTGAACGTTTTAAATAGGCCTATTTCGATAGAATGTAAAGTCAATCGCACTTTTAGCAGGAATTCCACCACATAAACTTAGAATAAGAGTAGTTTCTATTTTTGTTTCTATTATTTGGACCAGAACCAAATCTAGGGTAAAGTTTAGTCAAAGGGATGCATTTACACTAATTTAGTTTACCTTAACGAAAGGAGAATAAAAGTAGAAATAATAACTGGGCCAGGTCGCTAATTCAGTGGGTTTTACCAAGAACTTAAATTATCTCCACATTTCACGAAGACAATTTCCGAAATTACAATCGGGAAAGCATTTATATCAAAAAATTTTGTTAACTATAGACTACCGGTAAGCATTAAAATGCACAAACATACGCCTGTAAATTAAGTTACCATTCTTCGTAATGTAATGACATATTTGATGTAATATAATGATGATTAAATGCTAGAAACTCAGTTTCTATATCCCGCAAACTGATGCTGAGCCGGCCAAACTCCTAGCGCCAATGCCGCGCCAAGCGATTTTAGGCCTATTTTTAATCGCTTAAAAATGATACAAGCAGGCTCCGTATCAAAAAAAGCTTCAAATAAAAAATTAAATTCATACTTTGATCTAAAACTTTGCCGCAGGATTTTTTTTCCTGACCAAAAAATAAAAAAGTTCCTCGCTTACTACATTTTTCATGTTTTTTATGGTGTTAAAAAACAATCATCTGTTTTAATTTGCCTAAATAAATTATAACAATTATGTTAAGGTAAAAACTAGCTACATAGTAATGAGCACTGGTTTTTCCAGAAAAATAATATATCAATTTGAAATTTTTATGTTAACAAATAAGTGCAGCAGAGCAGGTTGAGTGAATGTATGTTTGTGTAAAACAGAGAGGTTCATTCGGCCCGTCCGCCTCGGTATCCCGATTGACTTATGGCAGAGACTGTACCGTTGGAGCTTATGAAACTTGGAGGTTATGAACCGCTCTGTTTATTTGATATTTAAAAGTTGGAGTTTGTGAAATTTGGACATTGTGAATCGGTGATTATTTGAAAATTATAGTTTTGGAGTTTATGAAATTTGGAGGTTATGAAACGCACTGTTTATTTAATATATTATCGTTGGAGTTTGTGAAATTTGGACATTGTGAAACTGTGCTTATTTGGAAGTTATAGTTTTGGAGTTTATGAAGTTTGGAGGTTATGAAACGCACTGTTTATTTAATATTTTAGACGTTGGAGTTTGTGAAATTTGGAGTTTATGAACCTCACCCGGTTTAGTTTGTAAAATTGTATTTAATTTATTTATTTTATCAGCTGTCCAGTCCAGTCCACGTGATTTTTAGGTTATGTCCAATTTAATGTTCCAAGTCCAAGCCGAGCGTAGCCTTATCCTATTATTTTCTTTTTTATTAGAAGCAGTGAGCTGAAGGTTTGAAAGTATGCAATTTTTTATGAATATCGACGTTTGATTACTCAGAAACATATATTAGAGAGTTACTCTGGTTATTCAGTTTAAGGTTATTTACAAAGTTTCCATTATCCTTTGGAAAACAAAAATTAGGTTAGGCTAGGCCAACCTACATTTAATTTTAAAAGGTCTTACAACAACCCCTGCCGGTTTCCGTAAGTATAACATGCCAAAGGCGATAATTATTAGGGTACAGTTTCTTAACTGGGCTATGCTAATATCGATTAAAACTATCGAATTGATAATATTTATTAATAATTGGTATTTTTAAATATATCTATTATAAAATTAAACTATCATAACCTAACTTAACCAACCAAACTTGCTGATGGTGAAAAAGTTGCATGAAGGTTTACTAATCGAATCGATAGTTTCAATCGATATTAGCATAGCCCAGTTAAGAAACTGTACCCCAAATCCAACCCTTCAGCCTATAATTTGAATAATTTGGTTTGCACTTTAGTTTACGTCCTACATTTACTGTACGTTTCATCTATGCTAATACATTAACTGGTAGGTGTATGGCTCTGGGGAGTGGGATTTTTTAAACGTTATTTATCCCTATTCAGGGAAATTTTTTCTAACTTTTGATCCCATTCAGGGATTTTCTCCAGTTTTGTATCTACAGCAGTATAAACCATGTAGCCCTACTATTTTTGGGGCGAGGAATTCGATAGGACCATCGCCGTCCCCCTACGGTGCCCCCCTTTCTAATAACAAGGGGTAGATAGATATTCTTTGAATAAAATATAATTTTTTCCATTTGTATTTATTTATTATATTATCCTCCATACAAATAAACCCTTTTTGACACTTATACTGCCCCCTTGTCCTGTAAGGGGAAAACCCTCCCCCCTTTGACTAAATATGTATAACTTTGGAGAATATGTAGGTAAAGCAGTACAAAAATAATGAATATCCCCTATTTTTGGGGTGAGGAATCCAATGGAACCATCGCCGACGCCCTAACCCCCCCCCTTCCCACTTACAAGGGGGGGAATTCCCCCCCAGCCAAAATAATTTGTTCCTCATTAGATTGATTTGTTATGTTTTCGTAAATACAAATAACGCCCTTTTTAACACTTATATTGAATTGCATATCAATTAATACTTATAATTATATAGCCTACTTATATCAATTGCCCTCCTTGACCTGTAAGGGGGCGATACCCCCCTTTTGCTAAACGTATATAGCTTTGGAGATTTTGTCAGTAAAGCAGTACAAAACCATGAATATCCCCTATTTTGGTGGTGAGAAACTCAATGGCGCAAACCCCATCCCTCTAACTTTGTTAGTTTTCGAGTTAGGGTGGGAGTATATGGATCTGGGGAGTGGGTACAAAATAGGTGTAGTTGGGGGTATGAGGGGTTGTGATATAGGCCTATGTTTTAACCCTATTTTGGGGGTGAGAAATTCAATGGTGCAAACCCCGTCCCTCTGTCTGTCTTAGTTTTCGAGTTAGGGTGGGGGTATATGGATCTGGGGAGTAGGTACAAAATAGGTGTAGTTGGGGGTATGAGGGGTGATATATATTTTGATATATATATTTGATATATATATTTTTTTAGTGATATATATTTATGAGGGGTGTGATATATGTTTTAACCCTATTTTGGGGGTGAGAAATTCAATGGTGCAAACCCCATCCCTCCAACATCCGTAGTTGGTAGGTGTCCATTTGCCGTCGGGCGTCGGAGACCATCTATTGGTAGGTGTCCATTTGCCGTCGGGCGTCGGAGACCATCTATTGGTAGGTGTCCATTTGCCGTCGGGCGTCGGAGACCATCTATTCCTATTGGTAGGTGTCCATTTGCCGTCGGGCGTCGGAGACCATCCATTGGTGTGCGTATCTTCAATGTATCTAATCAATGTATGTAATCTTCAATGTTGTGTGTGTGTCTTCAATTATGCCTCATCCTCCGGGAGCTTCAATTTTAATGGTGGAACTATATGAAAATCCATCCTTATATGAATTTCATTAGTCGTTGTAGCTAACCCTATAGCCAATCCTGTTAATAATCCAGCTGCAAAAAAACGTGAAATCATCTTTAAATTTTGAAATTTAATATATTGTGATTATGATTTTTAATTTCCATAGTAACAGTTAAGGTTTACAAACTTAGTTGTTGTCGATAGTTTTAGGTCTTCTATCAATCTATCTTTGGCATTTAGATGCTTATGATAAAGGGTAGAGAAAGAGCAAAGAGTTGAAATTTGACTTAAAATTTGGGATACAAATGTTTGGCCACTTCTAGACGTGCTAGGGAGCTGAAAATTTCGGTGGTTTGTAGGTCTAGTGCCCAACCCCCCGGGAAAATTCTGAAAAGTCGCATTTTCTAATTTCCACCCCCCCTAAATTAACAATTTCCCCCCCATGTTATTCTTAAGGGAAATAACATTGAAAAATACCGACTTTCGTACGCTCGTCTGAACCGTTTAGAAACGTGCTAGAGACTTTTGAAATTTGCGTAGTATTGTACTATGGGATCTTAAATTACCAGTGAAATTCGTAAAAACCCCATTTTCAAAATTCAACCTCCCAAAAAAATTCTATTAAAATCCCCGTTTTTGGAAAACACGTTTTTTTTAAACAGCTGTAGCTCGAAAACGGTAAGAGCTAGAATCGATTTGAGAAAAAATCGTAGGTTCGGAATAAAATTTTCTACAATACAGTTTTGTCAAAGAAGGCGTTATATCGAAATTCACACTCCTTCACCTTCAAAAAACGCTATACTTCCAAAAATTGTGAAAATTATCAATTTGTTTACGTGTTTTAAATTTTTAAACGACTTTTCGTACATATATTTTTACTTTTTATGCTCCCAACGTTGAAAGGAATGTCCCTAAAGTGACCTTCTATAATTTTAACCGAAAAAAATTTAAATGGTGGATTTTCAATCAAAAGTATAATTTTTAACGCATTTTGTTATGAAGAATTAGAATGCTTTGACAGGCAAACTACTACAGGCAAACTATGTCGCAGATTCGCACGCGCTCCCGCCCGGCTGGGAAATATTGTACAAACACCCCCCTACCCCTGCCAGTCGCGGGAGAAATTTTTGTTAACAAATATAAATATAAATCTATATATTTAATACACAGTTGTAACACTGTTTTCTCAGTAATTACTGAACCGATCCCCAGGTTATAGTTGTCAAATAAAAGGGGATAATGCATAGATTTTCCAAACTTCATTAGAATTCACGTTTTTTCTAAGGGTTAAAACCTACAGCCCTTCAAAGGTTGAGTCAATACAATTCTTATTGAAGGAGGAATATAATTTACAGCTTATTTTGATAATTAATTAATTGTAAATCATATGTCGGCCTCGCCACAATATAATGAATCAAGACTTTTCAGATTTTTTCAACACCCTCGGTCCTAGGTTTGTGGCAGGAGGCGATTATAATGCAAAGCATCCAATGTAGGGATCGAGGCTAGCTAACCCTAGAGGAAGGCAGCTTTTAATATCTATTAACAACAACGATATGAACTACTTGTCAACAGGCGTACTGGCCCACTGATCCTCAAAAAACTCCAGACCTCATAGATTTTTTTGTGACTAAAGGTATTGGACAAAATTATACTGATGTCAAATCTTGCCTGGATCTTTCATCAGACCATTCTCTGATAATAGCAACCATAAGCTCAACCATAATTTATAAAGAACACTCACCAACTCTTTCTAATAAACTGACCAACTGGGAAAAATTTCGGCAAATTATGAATGAAAATATTTCTTTGAAAATACCCCTAAAAACGCCAGATTACATCGATGATGCCGTCGAGTTTCTTAATTCTACAATTCAAACGTGTTGCTGGCAATCAACTCCAGGTGACCAACAAAAGAACTTGAATCATATAAATTATCCAGTTGAGATAAAGCGGAGAATAGCGGAGAAAAGAAGACTAAGAAGAATATGGCAACAGTCACGTAACCAAAGGGATAAAGCCAATTTAAATAAAGCTTCTCAAGATCTAAAACGAGCGCTAAAGAATCTTAAAAATAAATGGTTTTGTGATTTTACTGCAAATTTGTCTCCAACTGAAAGTACAAACTATTCTTTGTGGAAGGTTACTAAGACAATGAAACAACCTAAAACTCCAGTACCCCCACTATTTAAACCCAACGGGTTATGGGCCAGAAGTAACGAAGAGAAAGCAAATTTGTTTGCTGACCATCTTTCAACAGTGTTCACGCCAAATACAAATTTGAATAACAACTACCAAGAAATTGAAGAATTCCTCGTCTCCCTCAATCAGATGTCATTGCCGATATCTCAGTTTCGATCTCCTGAAGTGATAAACGTAATTAAGGGATTAAAACTGCACAAAGCCCCTGGGTATGACTTGATTACAGGAAATATTCTCAAGGAACTTCCAAGAAGAGCAATTTTATTCTTGACTCTGATTTTCAATTCCATTTTGCGAACTGAGCATTTCCCTGCTCAATGGAAAACATCTGAAATTATAATGATTCAAAAGCCTGGAAAACCACCAAATCAAGTTAGTTCGTACCGGCCTATCAGTCTCCTCCCCATTGCCTCAAAGGTTTTTGAAAAACTTCTTTTAAAGCGCCTTCGTTTTGTGATTGGTGAGTTGAACTTAATTCCTAATCACCAGTTTGGATTTCCAGAACCAGAATTTTTATGACCAAAGATGAATATCCACTTACACAATCCAAATACAATCTGTTTGATTTTCTAAAGCAGATGGAACCATGAATTAGTAATATTGACCCTCCCCGTAAGATTGCTCACCAATTATATTAACTACTTACCCCATATAGTTTAAATATTGTGTTAAGCGGATTCATTAAACACGTTTTTTAAGGTATACAATTTCATTTTTATGCTTATCTTTCCTTAATTTAAATATCATTGCAATATCTTTATCTATCACAGTTTGCTGATTTGACATAAAACCTGAAGAGTAACCGTCGAAATCGAGATTTTTCCCCTGGTTGTAACATGATATTTAATTTTTAGAAACTAAACTAATATAATATTCCAATAATATTTTTTGTGTAGTGATATAAAATATAGATTATTATCACTGACGAATACTAGAAAATACCCGGTATGGATCATAAACATAAACAAATAACGTTTTTGATCCGAAAATAAATATGTTTCCTCAATGTTTAATCCAGTT